TACCACAGGATCAGGGGCATCTTCTTGCTTGCACATCACCCAGGGGACACCAGTGCCCGTTCGGAGGGCCATATTTGCGGCCCAATTAGCATACTGATACCCTACAGGCCCAAGTGCCTTCCCTTGGCTCCCATACTCATTCTCAATCTGCAATAATTAAAGAAAGAAAAAAAAACCAATCATTATAGTTAATTAGCTTTAATTATAACAAAGAAAAATGAAACAAGTTTGGTCAAAAGTTGTTGACCTGTGTTAGAATAATTGGGCCTCCTTGAGATGCAAACAGCTCATTCATCTTCATCAAATTCACAATTTTCTCCGTGAATTCTTTCATGGCCACCTGTCATTTTCATCATCTCTCTTATTTAACCCTTACATTTTTTATTTTTGTAAACCAAAACACCATTCATAAACGGACCGGACCTTGAAGGGCTCGTTATCCGTTCTGAAGCTAATGCCGGGAACATACTTAAGCCACACAGGAAAACCTCTGCACATTCAAAACAAATGATGAAACGAAACACTAAAGTTAATATCAAACGAGACATGTAATTTCGGGTAAAAATTAATTACCCGAAATTCCATTCGGCGCAAACATAAGGCCCGATGCGAAGATGGGCGTAAAGCCCGGCCTTTTGGATCGTCTTCACGAACCTCACCAAGTCATTTCTCCCTTCAAAGTTATACTGCAATAATTCATCCGTACAAAACCGAACCACACCATATACACATATCACCCAAACATGGGGCAAAAAATGATAACAATAACAATGCTAATAAAAATTTGAGAAGAAAATTGGTCAAGAAAAGACTACATTGCCCTGGGAAGGTTCGTGAACGTTCCAGAAAACGTAGGTCTCGATCACATCCAACCCTCCTTCTTTAGCTTTGATGATAAGATCTTCCCACATCTATATGTTTACCAAATATTTTTAAAAAAAAAAATTAAAATAAGAGAAACTATATTTATATATCAAGATATTGACTAATCAACCAAAAGCTCAAACTTGTCGTAATTAAACTGTACCTCAGGGGCACTTCGGGGATAGTGAATGGAGCCGGAGATGAGTAACCTCCGGCGGCCATTGATGACAATGGCCTTCCGATCATAGTTGACGACGCTGCAATGGATCAACGGGACGAGGAGGAAGACGATGATGACCACCGTGCACCGAAACACACTACATTTCTCCTCCATTATCATATATATCCTTCTTCGCCAGGCCACCTTACTTCTCTCTCTATATTTATATAAATAATTAAATAAATTCAACTGTATATGTATATATATATATATATGTATATTTAAGTAAATATAAGTTCCATTTTTTTTCTTTTGTTTGCTGGTCTGAATAAAAGAAAAGCAAGGGCGGCAGAGTCGTACGTCAACTCCGGGACTGGGACGAAATTAAACAACGTAACAAAGTCTTCTATTTAATAAGTACCGTATCATTATCTTATTTTAGATAATAAATAAATAAATTTTAAATTTTCTCTTTAAGTAAGTAATTATGTGGTTGATATTAATTTCTTTTCTTTTTAAACTATATGTGAACAAAGTCCACTCTCCAAGATTCATTGAAAAATTCGATCACTCAGGTTTGAGCCCTAGTAGAGACAGAGACGTTGGTTATGTATGCGTCATTATGTGGAAAAAAGTATAAAAAAATACTACTGGGTACATTGTAATCGAGTCAATAACTGAATGTCACAGGTTCGAACCATAATAGGGGTATTGCCTTTGAGAAATTTACCTAAATAAGACTAAAACATAATGACTTTCTCAATATAGGACCATATGTTTTTATTTCCCAATGTAGGACTTTTGGTCATTATCAAGTAGTCATTATTCAAGTAAATGTCCATCCTTACTGGACATTATTTCTCCCACTAGGTCATTATTAAGTCCTATTTACGGAACAAAAAAGTTTAAGTCCTACATTGGGAAAGTCATTATGTTTTAGTCCTATTTAGTGCAAATTTTACATTGCCTTTTTATGCTTCGATAAATTGAAAAACAATGAATGAACGGATACAATATTATATTGCTATCATTTAGAGTTAATACTCTTTTAATCTCAATTTAAATTGTTTGTTTTTGTTTACAGTATTTGACTAAAGTTGTTTTTAAATTATTTTATACTCCCTCCGTCCCAAAAAGTCCGACACGTTTCAAAGAAACTGCATCCCATAAAGTCCGTTACATTTCTATTAAAAAACCACTTTTACCCCTTACTTTTTCATACACTACCTATCACATCATACCTTTTTCCTAATAATCTACCCATCACGTTCTACTTTTACTCATCACATCAAGGGTATTTTTGGAAAGTCAACATCAAAATATCCCTCCCTTAATTTCTCAAAAAGTCAATATGTACCAATCTTTTTGGGACGGAGGGAGTATGTAAAATGGTATAAGATTAAAAAATAAAAATGAAATATTTAAAAACTAGAACAAAAAATCTACAAAATTAGTAGTGGCTTGACTATTAAATATTTGCATTAAATAGCATTAAGACTTAAGTCATTTCCCTAAATAGCACTTAAATTGTTTTATTCCCTAAATAACACTTAATAATGTCCATAATGACCAGTGATGATAAACATTTACTTGAATAATAACTAATGGATAATGACTAAAAGTGCTACATTGGAAAAAAAACATGTAGTGCTCTTTAGGGAAAGTTATTATGTCTTAGTGCTATTTACGTAAAATCCTCCTTGACTATATTATTTTATCAAACGACTAATGAAAATAAAGAAAGAAAGTGAATGAAATTTGACCCTTTGAATAATAAACAAAAAAGTTAATTTTTGAAATTTGATCCTTTGAATAATAAACAAAAACTTATTTTAGAAATTTGAATAATAAACAAAAAAGTTAATTTGGGACGGAGAGAGTAATAATTAAAAAGTCTCAACAACTAATAAATGTTTATGCATTGATTTTTTTTCCTTATTTAAACAAATTTAATGTGTTAGATACTAATCTATACTTTATTTAAAAAGAGGTGAATGTTTTCCCGCCCAAACATGAGACTCATATATGGAAAGTGTTGATCCCAAAAATGATAGTTTAATTATTTGGCCTTAATGTTTTCCTTCTATTTTAAGTATGTTTTCATTTTTATTTAAATGTTACACCGTTTAAATACATAAATTAAATTAGTTTAAATTGTAGTGAACCATTGGGGAATTAAAGTATGGAAATAAAATACACTACCATTTAAATATTAAAATAAAATTAAAAAACTTTTAATTAATAAAGTATGAGCGAGATTAAAATGATTTATTTCAAAAACTAAAAATTAAATATTTATTACAATTTACAAGCACGGACGTGTAAAAACGGTAAGTTTTCTAAAATAGATTAGAAAATATATATGGTACGGTAAGTAAATGATAACATTTAAATACAATAATAAAATAAAAAACTACAAATTAATATTAATACTATAATTTACAAGCATGGAAACATTTTAAAATGACACGTGTTCTAATTAGAAAATTAGAAAAATAAATAGGTATGGTACGGTAAGCAATTGGCACCATTTAAAAACGAAAATAAAATAAATGGTAAGTGTTCTAAAATAAATTAGAAAATAATGTGGTTTGGTAAGTAATTAGTACGATTTAAATATGAAAATAAATAAAAAAAACTGCAAAATTAACATTAATACTATAATTTATAAACATGAAATTGTTTTGAAAAAGGTAAGTGTTCTAATTAGAAAATTAGAAAATAAATACAATACAGTATGTCACAACGATAAGAAAATGGTACCATTTAAACACAAGAATAAAATAAATGGTAAGTGTTCTAAAATAAATTAGGTAAGTGTTCTAAATAAATTAGAAAATAAAATAAATATCAAAACGGTAAGTGTTCTAAAATATAATAGAGAATAAATATGGTACGGTAAGTAAATGATACCATTTAAATACAAAAATAAAATAGAAAACTGCAAATTTTTACTATCAATTAATACTACAATTTACAAGCATGGAAACATGTTAAAATGGTAAGTGTTATAAAATAAATTTAAAGATAATATGGTACATAAAGTAAATGGTACCATTTAAATGCAAAAATAAAATAATTATGAATTAATAGTATTAATACTATAAGCATGGAAACATGTAACAATGGTAAGTGTTCTAAAATTAATACTATTAATTCTATAATTTACAAGCATGGATAAGTATAAAATCGTAAGTGATCTAAAATAAAATAGAAAATAAATACCATACGGTAAGTAAATGGTACCATTTAAATACGAAAATAAAACTAAAAAATACAAATTCCAAAATAGATACATTAATATGTTGAATTATTATTTAAATAAGTTAAGTTATTGAATTATTGTCAGGGACAATATCTGAAACATGTTGAATTATTGTTATTATGGAAACCGGTATTTAGTCATGGACAAGTGTTTGTTGCAGTTTCAAGAGTAATAAATCACAATGACTTGAAAATTCTGATATAAAACGAAATAAATACTCACACGAATTATACGAGTGATGTAGTTTATAAATAAGTCTTTCGAAATATGTAAATCATTTTACTTTTGTACTTTAAAATAATGAAATTTCTATATTCCATTATATACCAATTTATATTCCTAAAAAATCATCTTAATTTAGTACCATAACTATGACCCGTGCAACGCACGGGTGTGATACTAGTGATAGGAAACCGCGGAAAAAGATTACGGAGTACAGTAATATTAAAACCTTAGAGGGAGAGAGTACCTTTTTATTTTTATTTTTTTCAACATAAAAGATACAACTACTTTGTTTTTACATATATTTATTGATAATTTGATCAAAAAATATAAATATGTCACATAGCATATTGGTTTTTTAATTTTTAACTTTGAAAACAACTTTTTTAGCACTAATAATTGTTACTAGTAAAATATAGTATCTCTTCATACAATCTCAATATATTAAAGCGTATAAATTACTTTAACTCGATCGTTAGGATTCGATTTCGTGACTTCTCGTTTCGGAGAGTCACTATAATAGTCTCGCACCGAGAACCAAAAGGTCTTTGTAAGTTTTGAAACAAATTTTAAATAGCAAATATTTCTGTTTTACTTAAACCTCATGCAAAGTCAAAATCTAAAAAAAATGGGATGAAGGGAGCACTATCCATTATTTTATAACAAAATTAAGCTCTTTTTGCTAGAAGTACTAATAGTTACATGTCTGTGTTAAAAAAAGGTTACATTTCAAATTAAAATTTTAACATTGTTACTAAATCTTGGTAACCGTTTAATATTGAAGAGTATAAATGGTCACTAACTTGATGTATTCTAAATCAATCATTTATAAAAAACGATACGAAATATCCTTCTCAAAATTACGAAAGACCTTTTGCAGCTGTTGTTTTAAAATTGATGCAAAAAATATTTTGCATCAATTGTTTTGAGTTAGTCTACATATTTGCTTATTTTTTTAAGTTATTATTTTTTGAGCATTAATAACTCTATAACATGGTAGTAGGGGTGTACACCGGTCCAGAACCGGACCGGACCAGACCGGAACCGGAAAAACCGGAAACCTGGAATCCCCTAAAGCATAGGACCGGAAACCGGACCGGTTAGATTCCGGTCCGGACCGGTCCGGACCGGTTTTTTCTGGTCTGGTCCAGGTAAAACCCGGAATTTATTTTTTCTATTTCTTTTTGTATATTTTTTTAAACTTGTTTTTCAAATTTGTAGCTTGATTTGAATTGATTTCAACCCTACATTTAATTTTTATATAAATTGGGTGTGTTTCAAGAAAATATATTAATATAAATATTTTTATCAACAATATAATAGGTGTAAAATGATTTTTATACTTCCGTTAGTTTTGAAATTTCAAAAATATTATAAAGTTTTACTTTAAATTACTTTGATTTTAGCAAGTTTAATTTATACGTCAAAGTATTTAATACTTTAAATCAAAAGATTCTACTTCAATTTTTGGGAAATAATTTTAGATTTTTTATAATTATGGATATTCTTGGGTAAAGGTCAATGAAATGAATTAAAAAAATACAAATTACATTTAAAAATTATACTTCATATTAAAGTAAGAAGAACAAATGAAAATATACAATTGTATTTATAATTATACGTAAACTCTGTATTATAGGTATTAATTTTTTTTAAAAAATAGACATTCCGGTCTTACCGGTCCGACCCGGAAACGATCCGTTCTTGGACCGGAATGGACTGGAATTTTACTGGTCCAAAATCTTTAAAACGGAGACCGGTCCGGAATTTTACCGGTCTAGCCCGGAACCGGTTTTTCCGGTCTAGTTTTCTGGCCCGACCCGGATTTTGTACACCCCTACATGGTAGTACCTATCCATACATTCTTAATTTCTCAACTTATTGAAGCCTACCGAGCTATTGTCCTTACCGGGGACAGAACACATGGCCTTTCATTTGGGAGAGTCATAGAGTTTGTTTGGGAATATCATTAGAGATTAACGTTAACATGCTGAAAAAGCTATTGAACGGACATCGTTTAGCGTTAGTATTTTCAAAAGTCATCTGCACCGTTAACGTTTTATCCAAAATGCTAACACAATAAAAAACGATATTCTCAAACGGGCCCATAACGGTGTCATTGGACTACAAGATCTTTGGCGTGTTGTTGTTTTGTTATTATTACTATTATTATTATTATTATCATCATCATCATCATCATCATCATCATCATTATTATCATCCTCACCATCATTATCATCACAATATTTTTTTAAGGAGTACATTGCTGCGTAATGTGTGGATTTGTGGGGCCGTTGAAGGCAAAAGGCTTCATTTGCGGGGTCAATGCCTAATTTCTTTTCAATGATGCTACTTAATAGAGCATATCCATCCTAAATGCTTCCCAACAGCTTTTTTAGGAAAACAAGCTAAGGATGCCTCCACCAATATAAAAGGATGACCACCATCCAACTCTCTCACACCCTATCGGACGATCAATAAGAAGAGGTAAATTAAATTTTGATCTAGTAAAAATACAGAGGAGTTAGACTTCACATAACCACCTCCCATCGTCTAACGCCCTTGAGAAGAATATATGCATCGCTATTGATGAAGTAAAGGATCTCTCGAAGAAACAATTTCTTCTTGAAGCACCAATATTTCTCTTTTTTTCAATGTAACTTTAAAATTGAAAAATAATAACAATAATAATAATAATGTACTTCCTCTGTCTCGTAAAACTTTTCAACTTTTTCATCATATATTTTTTATGAAAATTTTAATTTGACTTAAATAGACACAATTACCTACTCTTCATCATCTTTTTAAGATTTAATTAGTGACCGACAAGCCAATACTGTCTATGTATGAACATGAAAATATATACTTTGTCTTGGTACCACTAGAAGAGGCATCTGGTTTCATCCGGTATGATTTCCACAAAAAATTTTGTGTTCATAGTATTATAGTGAAAAATTATTTTTTTTAAAGGATTAAAAATATATGAAATATTTGCACTAAATAGCACTAAAAACATAAGTCATTTTTCTAAATAGCACTTAAATTGTTTTATTTTCTAAATAACATTTAATAATGTCCATAATGTCCAGTGATGACGAATATTTACTTGAATAATGACTAATGTATAATGACTAAAAGTGCTACATTGGAAAGAAAAACGCATGTGATGTTATTTAGGAAAAATAATTACTATGTTTTAGTGCTATTTAATTAAATTTCCCCAAAATATACTTAAGTCGAGGATTAAAGTTTGTTACGGAGTATAAAAAATGAAGGGACTGCTTAGTAATTTCATGTAATTCTGCTCCCGTCTCCTTCTATTCCAGTACCCCTCCCCTTCCCCAATTCTCATCACATTCCTGTACCCATGTGTTTCGGAGCCCTAAGATCCGTCGCCCGACCCGTTTCCAGAGCCATCCTCTCTCACCGTAACGCCTGGCCTTTTTCCTCCATAGCGTCTCCTGCCACCTTATCATCTCTATCGCCTGAGGTCCGGTGGATTTCCGGCCCTAAGCTTCCCTGGATTCCGCCGTCCTCCGCCTTCCACAGCCTAACGGACACTCGGTACCCGAAGCGGAGACCCGTCGACAAGCCTAAGCGCAAACGACCAGTCCCGGAACCTCCTGGTATCTTCTCATTTCAGCCTTTCTTCCCTTTTCTACCGCTGCAATTAGGGTTTTAAAGGGTTTACTTTTACCTTTATTTCCGAGGATTCCCGCATCTGAAATTGGAAAATTTGCGTCTTTGTTGACCTATTATAAGCATAGTTGAAGTGAATGTAAAGGGCTTACTGGAATTGCTGAGCCTTTAGTGATGGTGGCATTTTATTGCTCGTAGTAGCTAATTTGGATAGTTCGTAAGGAAATTACTTCTTAAAGGTTGAATTTGGTGATATTAAGACTTTCTGAGTACATGACATCTAGTAGGATATCTTGGAGACATTTTACTGGGGTTGTAGAGTATTTGAAGTGTTTGAAAGTGAGTTGAGGTAGACAAGAACAACTAGCCTCGTAAAATCCCACAACAGTAGGGTCTGCAGAGGGTATGTGTACGTTGGCCTTACACCTACTATGAAGTATTGAAAATAATTCCAAGAGTCCTCCGGCTCAAACACAGTCACACAGAAGCACAGTTAGAGTAAATACAATAGCATAGAAAAAGTAAGAGCACAGAAAGCACATATACACCAGCTACGAACTAAGTTAAAAACACGCGACCATAAACTACAAATCAAGGCCCAAAGGTCTACCTAATTGCTCAAGTCTTAGATCTCTACACGTTATTATCTAAGGCCATATCTTCTGGGAGATCCTAAGTCTTGTCTGATCATCTTCTTCCTACTCTTCCTAGACACTAATCATAATTGGTGCTTTCATACGGTCCTATAGTTTTTACAATAAATATGTACTCCGTCTATTAATTTTACATCTACCCCTTTTTCACGCCCACCATCGCATACCTCTCACATCTCCGTTGTGGATTTGCACTTCTCCTCTTTACGTGTCTAACCACTTCTTGAGCTGTGGTACAGTTTTTTTTACTCCTCACACTACCTGGAAACATCAAGTTACTAAATCGCGTGTCATATCATAAGTTAATCTGGTCCTATTAGTAGGTAGAGGTAGAACCATTTGAATCAGAGCTAATGTCAGAAACCATTGCTCACAACAAAGATCATCAAGTTGGATCGTTGGTCTTTGCTCGATTTGGTCTTTGAAGGGCACAACAAGTCGGAATTGAGAACAAGCCATTGGTCATAACCTATGAAAGAAAAATGAACAAAATTTTTTTTTAGAGGCACGTTTTAGAAACTTCACACATACGCCTAAGATCTCATGTTTAATAGCCTTGCTTGAGTTGAATGGGAAATAATTGCTTTCTTTGGTTTAGTTTGTAACACTTCATGAGAAAATGAAGTTTTCCATAATTTTAGAGTTTAATCTTGTGATGTAGGCCCCTATTCTGGTGTTCCTAGGCGATTGCCTCATGATCCAAAACCTCAAAAGAACCCCAATCAAGGAAGTGTTAAGAGAAGGAATGAGAAGAAGAGAATCAAGCAACGCAAGGCTTTTATTTTGGTATGTTATTAAAAGTTGCAACAATATCTCATGATCTCTTCCTCTCGTGCTTATTCTCCTGGTATGATGCAATATTTTGACTGCTTGTTTATTGCCTTATGTTTCGAATTATGTTCAGTTTTACCTTGGAAAATAGGAAAGAAAATCAAATTCGATTTAAACTCTTTAAAAAACTGTTTATTTAAAAATATAAAAAAGGCGAGGTTGATGTTTTTTAAAAAAAAACATCTAAAATTTATTAGATGAGTTTGAACCAGTATTATACTTCCACTCACACTTTCTTTCCTTTCGAATTCCCCTTATATTTTTCTCTCTGATTGGTTTCCCTAGCATTTTTCATGTTCCAAACAGACCATTAGGTGTGGGCTAAAGGAATACCCCAAAACATATTTATGGGAATAGGAATTATGGAGTATATGTATAGTTAATTTAGCTTTTGGCTATTGGTTTCTTAGAAGGTGTTTGAAAACTGTTTTTCAGCTTCTGCCTCGTTAAAATGCAGTTTAGCTTGTTTGGTAATCTGCTTCTCTTTATAGCTTATGGATTCAGAGTTCAGAAATGTAAAATGGGCTTCGATATTGCTTTTCAGCAAAGCTAAGACTTGTTTCATTTCGCTTTTGAAATATAACTTTTGTTTTTTCAAGAATCTACTACAACTCCAAACATCCTCTTAGCATTGGTAATGGAACAACATTCTTAAAATAGTTCAATTGGTTTGAATTTGATGACGGGCACATCTATTTTATTGGGATTAATGGCTGCATAAGCATTGCTGATCACTATTGATTTCTTATTTAAATGCAAACTTGCAATGGGAAAAATGTGCTGCTCTCATTGAGTGACCTGCATCAGTAAACAGATTTTAGCTGGTTTAGACTTAAGTAACTTAGTCTAATGAACATATTGGATCATTAAGATATAGTGATCCTTCGGTGTGAAATATAACCCAGCCCTAATAATCCGTAGGGCTGATCGAAAACACTTTTTGTTCATTTGATCGAAAACACTTTTTGTTCATATTTCATTTGATCGAAAACATATTGGATCATTTGGGTAAATGAAACTAAAAAAAATTATTAGGTTTTTGATAGAAAACACTTTTTGTTCATATTTCATTTCGCGTTGAAAATATGCCAAGTAAAGCCAAGGATAATAAATAAATGGCCTTGCCAATTTTGTCCTATTTCCTAGCAGTTTTCAATAATCCAAACAAACCCTATGAAACACTGGAGGAATAAGTTCAGAACTCAGCTAGAAAAAAAATGTTTGAAACTTTCAAGGATATAAAATTTGGGGAAAATAAAATAAAATGCTTCAAACTCAATATATCATACTGGGTTGTTGTTGCTCCAAACTCATTAATATCAGTTTTACATCTTTGTATAAGTTGGTCTGAGGGTTGGGTTAGTGGGGTTTTTTTTTGGGGTTAGTGGGTATACATAGACTTTATTCCTACCTATAAAAGGTAGATTATGTTCCCAAAAGACCCCAACCCAAGAAACATTGGAAAAAACTATGGTTTTCCTTTCATCGTCTTCTTCTGCAATCTCAACGAAGCCTAATTAAATCTCTTTTGTTCCAAGACCATATCGTAAACATAAATCATTTTGCTGGAGAGTTGTTTTTATATTTCATCTGCATAAAGTGTGATTCAAACCGTGTGCAGTCTGAAAAGAAGAAGCGCACGGCGTTAATGCAAGAAGCAAAAAGGAAGAAACTGATGAAAAGAGTGGAGCGAAAGATGGCTGCAGTTGCAAGGGAAAGGGCGTGGGTTAAAAGACTAGCAGAATTGAAGAAGCTTGAGGAAGAGAAGAAGAACAAGAAGGAGGCTGCCATGGTTTAGCCTTTCTCCTCTTTGCAAAATGCTAAAAGGTCCATAACAAGGTTGGTTGCTTTATAGTTATTGTTGCCCCTTTCTTCAATATTCGTTAAAATAATGGAAATTTCAGTTTGTTAATAGAATATTTTGTTCGAAATGGAAATTTCAAAGGAATTGAAGTTTGATCTGAGTGAATTCAATTTCAATGCATCTCCCTTGGAACTTCTTGAAAACCACCTCTTCCTTTCATAGCAGCAGTAAGGTTCAATCAGTGTGTTAAGCGAGATACAAGTCGAATTTAGGATAAAAGCTAAACTAATACACACCGTATTACAAAACATAAGAGAATGATTATTGGGAGTAATGCACAAGCTATTTGGTATATAGTAAAATACTCCGTAATAATGTTTTTATGTTGCCTCTTGTTTTGTAGATCTTTTGAGGGTAGTTTTTAAACATATAAATTCGATATTGAATACTAACCAACCATTGGGGGGGGGGGCTCATATATAAATTTCTATGAAAGTTGGTTCATAATGCCTTTCCATTGTAACTCTGGAAAGAATGAGGACTTTGGCCAAAATTTAATGGTTGAGAATTAGAGATGATTATCCACTGGCGCGACGGTGATCGGAAGCTTCCGCTTCATTTTCACCGTCGGAAAATACACTATTTCGTCCTCCTCGGCAACCCACCTGCACACACGCCCGTCTCTCATTAGAAAAAAACACAGAGAGCTGTCAAACCGGTAGGTCAGACAGATATCAAGAAACAAAAATACCTGTAAGTAGTGACAAGGTGATGCACAAAAATAGAGATTTCAAGCCTAGAGAGTTCCAAGCCAGGACACAACCTCTGCCCACCACCAAATGGTGTAAACTTGCTGCTGTTTATATTCATTCCAGGATTCTGTCCAAACATTTTTATTATTACTAATATTGCTAAATAAATTTAAATATAATAAATAAATAAATAAATGGAATTTATGATAATTTATTTAATTAAAATCCCAGACACAAAACTATGAGTGCAACAAACCTCCCATCTCCAAGGGTTGAAGTCATATGGGTTTTCATAGTTTTCCTCATCCATGTGGACTGATATCAAGGATGCCAATACACACCACCCTTCTGGTATCAAATGTCCTACAACATCATTAAACTATTAAGTTTAAATTTGTTCCTAGACACGCTTACATGTAGGCATAGAAGTGTGTGTGTTACAAGGAAAAATTGGGTTCGGGGTAAACGAGTCGAGGTTGGGCTAATGTAGCATTGTTTTTTTCTTTTTAAAAGAATAAAAAATAAGTTTCTTAATTTTGATATGTGTCTTAAATATATTAAATAAAAATGGTTGGGTCAATTTTACTTAACCAACAAACAAATTTAAGTAAAATGAAATTTGATACGGAGTAATTTCTGATAATCATGTTGAACATGACTGCATCCTAGTGTAATTGTGAGGAATGTAATTTGGATGTACCATAATAATTATATGCTTCATCCATTTTATAAAAAAAATTTCACATTTTCTTCTCGCTCATTTCTAAAAAAACTTCTACTTTCGATTTCTGGAAAAGAATTTGTGGCCTTATAACTTATCTCTCTGTATTACCTTTAATGTTAAAACTTTTTATAGGGTGGAGGGTATAATGGTATTTTTTTAGTAGTAAAAAATTACAACCAATTAGTGTGATGAAGAATGAAGAAGAAAAAAATGAAATGAAGAAGACAATTGAGTTGATTTGATATGGTGCCCTCAATCACTCAGTTCACATGCTGCATTAGATGCACATTGAAGAATATAATAATAATGGAATCATACCTTTGATTTGGACATCTTTATTGGCTTTCCTCCACACTGCATTTATTATATTGGCCATCCTTAATGTCTCACTTATCACCTAAAATATACTCCCCATTATTATTTCCATCATCTTATTTTCAAAAAAAAAAAAAACAAGTTGGCTACTTGCTTTTTATTTTAGAAAAAAAAGATAGAAGCAATATGACATCCACATAATTTCATTATTTTTCAATTTAATTAGAAAAGCATACTCGCTCGATTCGTCTCTCATATATCTATTTAGAAATTATTTACATGATCAAATTTAACTATCTTTGTTTGTTCATTTTTATTATCATTTTCATAAAATAAAATAGTCAAGTCGCTTCTTATTTTGTAAAATTTTTCATTCGTTTTTTATTATATAAATTTTATTTTTAAATCTTACACTTGCAATTATATAAATTGAATTAAAAATAAATTCAGTCAAACTTTATAATGCTTAATGAGAAGATCTATGAAGGACAGAAAAAGTATTTCTCAAACTCAGTCTAATCATACAAGACAATGTACTCAAAAATATCGAGATAGACATCATAAACGAAATACTTCTCTCAAGTCTCATCCATAAATTTTCTTCAAATTTAGTTTTTCTTGATCAATGTTCTTAGACTTTACCCGCAATACGTAGACAAGGTGCATTGTGCTATGACATGAATTTAATAATAATAATTTTCTTAAAATGTAATTTTGAAGTATCATAATTTTATACTATTATTTTTCGATATATGAATAGAAATATTAATGACTCAGTTATTGCATCAAAGTTCTTTAAAAAGTCAAATGGAAAGAGAATTGTATAAAATAAAAAGAGGGTTTGTAAGGTGCACACATTTTGAGCGAAGTATAGAGACATGTAATCGGTCCAAACGTATTCTTCCCCGGAATTCAATTTACGCCTTCGCAATTCCATGTTCTCCTCCTGCCAAAAAACAAAAACAGAAAAAAAAACTTCACACCATATTACTCTCTCTGTCCACTAATTTCTAAGTTACTTTGCTTTTTGAAATGTCCAAAATATCTTTCTCGTTTTCTATTGTGGCAAAAAACTTTTAATGAATGTTTCATTATACATCTACCTTTTCTCTACGTTATTTACTTTATTTTATCATATTAAGGGCAACATATGGAAAGTATTCTAATGTAAAAAAGAATGACATTTTTTAATGCAGGAGAATTGGGGAAGGAGTAAATATAGAGGAAATAAAAAGGGCAGAAAGGATTTATGGCGGTGAGAAGAGGGGAGGGACAGAACAGTAAAAGAAGAGGTGGTACTAAACGACAAAAATAGATGCCCGACGCCGTCCCATAACTGCTTTACCCCCACGTGCGGTCGCA